TGTATTTAAAAATCCCCGTTTTTGGGCCAGGGTATGGCCTTTAAAATTTTTATTTAAAAAATCCACGTTTTCGGTTCTGGGTATGGCCTTTAGCATTTTATTAAAAACTCCACGTTTTTGGGCCAGGGTATGGCTTTTAAAATTTCATTTAAAAACTCACAATTTTGGGTCTGGGTATGGCTTTAAAATTTTATTTAAAAAACAACGTTTATAGGTCAGGACATTGGCTTTAAAACTTTATTTAAAAATCTATGTTTCTAAGCCAGGGCACGGCCTTTAATAGTATGTCTAAGATTGTATTTTACTGCATCAGATCATGGCCTTTAAAATCCTCTTTTATATTCCATTTCATCGCCTTTAAACTTTTTGTTTAAAAATCCTTGACTTCACCGCACTTAATAAAGATTGTATTTGGCTTTGTTGAAGTATTGAGCTTTTTATTTGCTTTAATCCAGCCATCTTATTAACTTTTGAAGCGTTTTTTTTTTGTATTTTCATTGTCCTCCTTATTGTCTCTGATGGCCTTTTCCTTTGCCATGTATATGAAGACAATAAAAAAAGGTCAAACAAAAGGTACTGTAGCATTTACAGCAATGGCGAAGAGAACAGGAGAGGGAATGAGCTGCGATTTTCATGTCCTCTACTGCATCTTCTCTTTGGTAGCAGATAAATATGTAATTTTGGAATTTAGTTATTCCCTGTTCATTTCGCTTGATGTTGATTATTGCGATGGCTTTCTGGTAATGCCATCCGTGCAAACAAATATGCTGGCTACCTTTTTGGCATCAGTGACAACCCGCATATAAATTATTATTTATTTATCATGTCCTTCGAAAGAGTTTCTTGAAGGATATTTTGAGCTTGTTTGTTTTCTCAAAAAAAAGTTTTGAAATAATAAGTCTTGAAATATTTACGAGGAGTTAATGAATGAAGAGTGAGAAATAACAATAATATTGCTCGAGAGCACAAATTGGGATGAATGGAGCACTTCACATAGCAGCACTTAACAGTAATTGAAAATACTGAGAAAAAATTTGAAATTAACAAAATTTCTATAATAAATACCAAAATTTACAGTAGATCACAAATGTAAAGCAGCAGTTTTTCATCAATTTTTTTTTCGGCATTGATAATTCTTTTTAAATTTAATAAAGCTAACAAAATAATCCGACTTTGTGACAATTTTCTGAATTGAGTTTTTTTTAAGCTAATTTCTATTACCCCCAATTTTGCCCTCCACTGTATGCGACATCAAGTGCCAATATTGTCTATAATCTTTCAAGATTTTTTTCCAATTCACTTAACTCATTACATTAGTTTACACAATCGTAAATTAAGGATGTCTTGCCGGCATCTACTTCCCAACCTCCTATCCCCTCCCATTGCGTCCCACCAATCAATGGCACCACCAATAAAGTGTTAAGACATTATTTTAAATTACCCTCAATTTTCAATGATTGCAAGCTACGAACGAAGCAGCTTAATTCTATTTCACTTCAACATTGTCAAGCTAACCAACCAAAATCATGTTATTCTTTGCTTTGACACATTGAACTGTGCCAAAGGATCGAATGTCCTTTCCAAGACACATACATGCACACACAGCTAGACGCCGAAGAACCCACAAATATTTCTTGTCAATGGCTTTAATGGAAAAATTGCTGTGGGTGTTATTATTGTTGTTGTTGTTAGTGCTGCCGTTGCCATTGTTTGAACGCCTCCCATTGTTTTGTAAACATATCGCCTGAATTTAATTCAATTTTATCGGGAATGTCATTCTTGCAGCAGTGTCGGAGGAGGGTAATCACCTCCCAACATTGTTGTTGGTCTCAGCTATTGTCGGCAAACGAAAGGTGAATAATGCGGTTGGGAAAAGTGTGATTACAAGCATTTTCTTTTAACAACAACCACAGCCCACAATGGAGTCGGAGAGATGGAGAGGATGGAGAGATAACAATGTTATTGCGTCCTTTTATTGAAATGTTCAATTTTTCAATATCATTGTCATTTTTTTTTTCATTTTTCGCATCCTGTTAAAGGAGATTATCGATATTTCACAAAGCGACTTGTACATTTTCATGTAATTATTTGTCAAGGAGGTATTGTGAATAATTTTCGAAAAAATGGGAACCCATTCTCGAGATTAAAATTTGGGAAAAAATAATATATTTCCATGGCTTCAATTTTTTAAGGAGGAGTATTGGAAGAAAATGTTGTCTCCTGATTTTTAAGAGAAATAGTTTCAAATTATTTTTAAGGGGGAAAAGTGGGAGAAGGGATTTAAAATTCTGTTAGCTGAGACAAATCAAGGCCTACATACTGGGTGAGATAACAAAAAAACTCCGACAAAGTCAAACGCCATAATTTTTACAATTTTTTTAAATTTTATTGAATGAAAGCAAAAAATAGAAAATATAAAAATATTTTTTGTCAATATTTTTTATTTCAAATTAAACCTTTATATTATTTCAAATATCTTCGCAAATTGGCAAATGCCAAATATTTGTATGGGATACTGACCTCAACATCACTTCAAAATTCTTTTCCTATCTGAGCAGTTTTGCATGTAAATTGTTTTTCGCATCTTGGGATTTGTCGGTATTTACGCTGTTTTCCTCTTCTATTTTCCTACAGAAAAATTTAATCTAAATCGTAAAGAAATTTTATTACTTCCTGTAGAAACAGAGATGTTGAAATCTAAACAAAGAATGTAACTAAAATTAAAATCCACTCGAGAAAAAATGCAAAAATATATTCTTGTACTAAAAGTATACACAATTTAATTAAATTCTTTGAATTTGTGGAGTTTTAAATAAACCTTGTCAGCTTGGCCTATAAAAGATGATTTTTAAAATAAATTTTAAGGGCAATTTTCTGGCCTATAAAAGTAGATTTCTTAATAGTATTTTGAAATCCATGTCCTTCGCTATAAACGTAAATTTTGAAATAAATTTTTTAAACCCTATGTCCTGGCCTATAAACGTGGATTTTTAAATAAAATTTTAAAGGCCATACCCAGACCCGAAAACGTGGATTTTCAAATAAAATTTTTAAGGCCTACCGAGTTAAGGCCTACCCAGCCCCGAAAACGTGGATTTTTAAATAAAATTTTAAAGGACGTACCCATACCCGCAAACGTGGATTTTTAAATAAAATTTTAAAGGCCATACCCAGACCCGAAAACGTGGATTTTTAAATAAAATTTTAAAGGCCACACAGACCCCAAAACGTGGATTTTTAAATAAAATTTTAAAGGCCATAACCTGGCTTATAAACGTGGATTTTTAAATAAAATTTTAAAGGCCATAACCTGGCTTATAAACGTGGATTTTTAAATAAAATTTTAAAGGCCATAACCTGGCTTATAAACGTGGATTTTTAAATAAAATTTTAAAGGCCATATCCTGGCTTATAAACGTGGATTTTTAAATAAAATTTTAAAGGCCATAACCTGGCTTATAAACGTGGATTTTTAAATAAAATTTTAAAGGCCATGACCTGGCTATAAACGTGGATTTTTAAATACAATTTTAAAGGCCATAACCTGGTTATAAACGTGGATTTTTAAATACAATTTTAAAGGCCATAACCTGGCTTATAAACGTGGATTTTTAAATAAAATTTTAAAGGCCATAACCTGGCTTATAAACGTGGATTTTTAAATAAAATTTTAAAGGCCATATCATGGCTTATAAACGTGGATTTTTAAATAAAATTTTAAAGGCCATAACCTGGCTTATAAACGTGGATTTTTAAATAAAATTTTAAAGGCCATGACCTGGCTATAAACGTGGATTTTTAAATACAATTTTAAAGGCCATAACCTGGTTATAAACGTGGATTTTTAAATACAATTTTAAAGGCCATAACCTGGTTATAAACGTGGATTTTTAAATACAATTTTAAAGGCCATAACCTGGTTATAAACGTGGATTTTTTAATAAAATTTTAAGGGCCATACCCAGACCCCAAAGCGTGGATTTTTAAATAAAATTTTAAGGGCCATATCCAGACCCGAAAACGTGGATTTTTTAATAAAATTTTAAAGGCCATATCCAGACCCGAAAACGTGGATTTTTTAATAAAATTTTAAAGGCCATACCCAGACCCCAAAACGTGAATTTTTAAATAAAATTTTAAAGGCCATATCCAGACCCCAAAACGTGGATTTTTAAATAAAATTTTAAAGGCCATATCCAGACCCGAAAACGTGGATTTTTTAATAAAATTTTAAAGGCCATACCCAGACCCCAAAACGTGAATTTTTAAATAAAATTTTAAAGGCCATATCCAGACCCGAAAACGTGGATTTTTTAATAAAATTTTAAAGGCCATACCCAGACCCCAAAACGTGAATTTTTAAATAAAATTTTAAAGGCCATATCCAGACCCCAAAACGTGGATTTTTAAATAAAATTTTATATCTTATACCCTGACCCGAAAACGTGGATTTTTAAATAAAATTTTATATCTTATACCCAGACCCGAAAACGTGGATTTTTAAATAAAATTTTATATCTTATACCCAGACCCGAAAACGTGGATTTTTAAATAAAATTTTATATCTTATACCCAGACCCGAAAACGTGGATTTTTAAATAAAATTTTATATCTTATACCCAGACCTGAAAACGTGGGTTTTTAAATAAAATTTTTAAGGCCATACCTAGACCGGAAACGTAAATTTTTAAATAAAAATTAAAACCCAGATTCCAAAACGTGGATTTTTAAATAAAATTTTAAAGGCCATACCCTGACCCGCAAACGTGTATTTTCAAATAAAATTTTTAAGGCCTACCCAGCCCCGAAAACGTGGATGTTTAAATAAAATTTTTAAGGCCTACCCAGCCCCCAAAACGTGGATTTTTAAATAAAGTTTTAAAAGACGTACCCATACCGGGAAATGCGTATTTTTTTACACATTGAACAATTTTTATACATATTTTTAGGTGCAAATTTAATTTTCTTCCATAAAAAAGTTTTTTCTCCCTCTCTTACAGATCCCTGGCAGTGAGGCCGACCTCCACAGGAAGCTGTTCGTATTGGCAACATTGTAACACTTGTAGCCTCACAGTAGGTAAGCCACAAAATTAATTGCTTGGAAGCCAACATTTTTCTTTTAATTTGCCATTTATAACCAGAAGAACACTTGTTCACCCATCTATTCTGCCGACGAACGACATCGTTTATGGCCAGTAATACACTGCTAACATGTGTACATACATATGTAATGTTTACATAACTTTTTCCCACTTGTTTAATGGTTTCCATTTAAATAAAAAAAACTCCAAGGATAATTGCATATTCCCCTGTCAATAGCAAAGCACTTTGGAATTATAATCCCAACGGGAACTTTTGTTTCACAAACTATTACAAATGGTTTGCAAATTGTTTACATGGCGGAATTTGCAGAACAACTTCCCAGTTCTTTCGTTCCATCCGTTCAAAAGATGCCCCCGAACAAACCAACAGATTCTCACACAAATTTCTGCCATCCATGGACTCCATTATGGCAATGAAACAAAAGTTTTATGATTAATTTTCTGTTGCTAAATGAAAAATAGTGCCAGTCATGCATCCACCCACAAACTTAAAAGCTGGCAGAGGGGGGTGGAAATTGTTTGTATTGTGGGTTTGTCCCACACTTTATCTTCTGAGAGAATGAAAAAAAACTATAGAATAGAGTTGATTTGTTTGATGTATTACCCGGTTGGTAGCTGTTATTTATTCCAGGCATGTAGAATAGTAGAGAGAGAGAGAGGGAGAGAAATTAACTTGTAGCTAAGTTGAGCAAAATTAGTTTTTTAAAAACGAGAAACAAATTTTAAGTAATTGTTTTAGTTGTGAGCTTTAATAAGACTGAAAAAAGTGAAAAAATGAAAATGGGACCTTTGATATTAATGGTCATTCGAAAAAATCCAGAATTTTTTTGAATCGTAAATGATATATCACTAAAAAACCAAATCGGATGAAACATATACAGGGTGAGATGAAAAATCTACAACCAACTTCAGACTGCTGTCATTTCTAAGCCACTCGTCCGACAGGTGTTAAAATTATTCCAGTGATAGCTCATTATATTATTTACAAGAGTACAAAAACATTTAGGTGAGAATTTTCTTTCTTTATATTTGGCTGGAAAACCACAAGTGGCTATCGTTAGAGCACTCCAGCATTTAAATGTGAATAAATCTTTTGTGTTTCGTACCATTGCTTGTTACCGTGATACTGGTGGCGTAGCCCGACATCAAGGAAGTGGACGGAAGACGGAAGAAAACAGCAACATCAGGAGAAATGGTTCGAAAAGTAAAGAAGCGACTTGATCAAAACCCACGTCGCTGTGGCTGAAAATTGACTCGTGAGCTGAACATATCGCAATATTTCATTGGGCAAATATTGAAAAATGAGCTCGACGTAAAGCCATTGAAATTCCAAAATTTGCAATAAATCACACCTCAACTGAAAGAAAATAGACGCCATGGTGATGGTTTGGGCCGCCATAACAGCCAATGTCGTAAATTGCCTCAAATTTTAGAATAAGTTTAGATTTGTTCGAATTAGTCACCTTTGGCACGAATTATAGCCTTCAAACGGCCAGTTAAACCGTCACACACTGCCCGAATGTTGCTCTGCGGTATTTTGGCCCATTCCCGGCGAAGCGCTTGCTTGAGGTGATCGACTCTTTAGTATTTTTTAGCGCCAACCTTGTTTCCAAAATACTCCAGAAACAATTGTCCAACGGATTGGTATCCGGAGATTTTGGTGGTCATTCTTTGGTGGCGCGTGCTGAGTGCGATTATGCTGAGTCCTGTTGGAATGTTCAAGGTCTGGGGCCAAAATGTTTGCATGCCCAAGGCTTTAATACACCCTCCAGAATATTTTCACGATAATATGCAGGATTTATTTTGATACCACGGTCGATTAATGCGAACGAAGAGCGATCATCGGTTAAGGCGGATCATGGCCGGCGCTTGAGTTCTGGTGGCCAACCGAAGGTGCACATTTACAGCTGACCTCTTTGGCAAGAAAACACGATAATTTTGTTTGTTTACAAACCGCTGGACAACGAATGTTTTCTCATCGGAGAAAACCAAATTCAGCAGTTCACCACTTTCGGCCAAGCGAAGAAAACTCTTTTGTTCTTTTGAGTCAATTTTCTCTTTTACGGTTTAAGTTCTTGCAGCTCATGGAGCTCATTTTTCAATATTTGCCGAATGGAATATTGCGATATGTTCAGCTCACGAGCTATTTTTCGGCCATTGTGACGTGGGTTTCGATCAAGTCGCTTCTTTATTTTTGAACTATTTCTGCTGATGTTGCTGTTTTTTTCCAGTGCATAAAATACATGAAATCGGCCGGAGCTGTACCCAAACTTCAACCGATTTCAATAAAATTTGGTAAAAATTTTTGGTACCAAATTTCGTATCTCTCTGTCCGATTTTCATTGGAGTATGTGAAGTCAGCCTAAAATATGCATGGGAGCTATATCCACATCTGAACGGATTTCAAACTTATTTTTGCTTCGTTACGCACTCCAAATTTCAATACCAACTTGATTTTTTTTCTCCCCCACTGTGCCATTATCATAAATGTTTAATGTGTGTGTGTGTTGTGAAGAGCTTTAGTAACTTGTTGTTTTCATTTGTAATCACTTTAACTGTCAAGTGGTTTGGGGTCTACCATTCACTGCAAATGACAAATGAATCAAATCCTCCACCGTCGTAAATTAAAAACAAAAAATGGCAAATATTTGTTAACTTCTTGTGTGGTAATTAAAGGCGCCATCACCGAAAACGGGGAACATTTAGAACATTTACACGGGGAACATTTAGAAAATTAACAAGTAAAAAAGCAGTAAGTTCGGCCGGGCCGAACTTTGAATACCCTCCACCATTTGGAACGAATTAGAAAATTTTCAAAAAAAAAATAAAATCCAATAAAAATTCTTTTAAAATTTTTAAATATCTAATACAGGAAGGTGCCAATATATGGGGGGATATACGATATTGTGGACCTATAAAGACAAATGTATGTCTGCGTGTAAAGTACTCACAAGGAACTCCTTGTATGGATTTTCAGACAATTCCGATGAAAAATGTGGGTCAAATCATAAAATACCGAATATCGGGGAGTACCGTTATACGGAGGACCTATATAGACAATCCCGTTTCAGGGGTAAAGTGTTCACAAAGAACTCCGTGTGTGGATTTTCAGACAATACGATTGGAAAATGTGGCTAAAATCATCAAAATACCGAATATCGCGGGGTACCGTTATATGGGAGCTATACGATATCGTTAACCTATATACAGAATTCTCTGTCGGGGGGTAAAGTGCTCACAAAGAACCCCTTGTGTACAAAGAACCCCATTCCGTTGAAAAATATGACTAAAAACATCAAAATACCGAATATCGGGGGTACCGTTATATGAGGGCTATACGATATCGTTGACCTGTATAGACAATTCTCTCTCAGGGGGTGAAGTACTCACAAGGAACTACTTTTGTTAATTTTAAGACAATTCCATTGAAAAGCGTGGCTAATATCATCAAAATACCAAATATCGGGGGTTACAGTTATATGGGGGATATACGATTTCGAGGACCTATATAGAGAATTCTTTTTGGGGAGGTAAAATGCCCACAAGGGACTCCTTTTGTGGAATTTCAGACAATTCCATTGAAAAATGTGGCTAAAATCATCAAAATACCGAATACCCTGGGGGTACCGTTACATGGGGGCTATACGATATCGTGGACCAGTATGGACAATTCTCTGCCGAGGTATAAAGTACCCACAAGGAACTCCTTGTGGGGATTTTCAGACAATTCCATTGAAAAATGTGGGTAAAATCATCAAAATGCCGAATATCGGGGGATACCGTTATATGGGGGCTATACGATATTGTAGACCTATATAGATAATTCTCTGCCGAGGTATAAAGTACTCACAAGAAACTGCTTTTGTGGATTTTCAGACAATTCCATTGAAAAATGTGGTTAACATCATCAAAATACCGAATATCCGGGGTACCGTTATATGGGGGCTATACGATATCGTGGACCGATATAGCCCATCTTCGAACTTGACCTGCCTGCAGACAACAGAGAGATCTGTGCAAAATTTTATCTTCCTATCTTAATTCGTTTAGACTGTAGCGTGATTACAACAGACGGACAGACGGACGGACAGGGCTAAATCGTCTTAGAATTTTACGCTGATCAAGAATATATATACTTTGTTGGGTCTTAAATGATTATTTCGATGAGTTACAAACGGAATGACGAACTTAATATACCCTCCATGCCTTTTTTGGTGGAGGGTATAAAAATAAAAAATATTTGGTTTGAAAACTATTTAAAAAAGACGTATAATATAATCGTATGATATATCGTATATACAAACCCTATTAAAAATGGAGATAATCGGTAAAAATTATAGATATAGCTCCCATATATATCTTCGTCCGATTTGCCTTTTATTGTGCACCAAACGTGTAATATCAGCCCGAATAGTATGGAATTTTGCACCCACAAACAAACTAGGCCTAAAAAAAATTATGCTCAATTTTATCGAAATCGGTTCAGATATATCTATTGCTCCCATACATATATTTTTCATCCGATTTGTTATTTTAATCCTCCGCAGGCGCAATATGCACTCTCTAACAACAATATTTGGTGAAATATATCAAATACAGCTCAGAAATACCTTTGCTATATTTTATCGGGATCGGTTCGGATTTGGATATATCTCCCATATATAACTTCGTCCGATTTACCTTTTATTGTGCACCAAACGTGTAATATTTGCCTAAATGGGATGAAATTTGGCACTTGAGTCTAGAAACTAGTATGTCAAATTTGTTGAAGATCGGTCCAGATACAGCTATAGCTCCCATATATATTGTTCATCCGATTTGTTATATTAGTTACCCACAGCCATAATGTGCACTCCGTAACAACGATATTCAGGGAAATATATGAAATACAGCTCAGAAATATCTTTGCCAAATTTTATAGAGATCGGTTCGGATTTGGATGTATCACCCATATATATCATATGGGCAATACAAG